GGCACTGTGGGCGTACCATACACGAAATATTATTTCGAGGGAACGAAATAGTATTGCGAGGGAACGAAATATTATTTCGAGGGAAAGAAATAATATTTCGAGGAAACGAAATAATATTTCGAGGGAACGAAATAATATTTCGAGGGAACGAAATAATATTTCGAGGTAACGAAATATTATTTCGAGGAATGAAATATTATTTCGAGGGAACGAATTAATATTTCGAGGGAACGAAATGATTTAATTCCCTCGAAGTAAGATTTCGTTCGATCAAAATAATATTTCGTTCGAACGAAATATTATTTCGTTCCCTCGAAATAATATTTCGTTCCCTCGAAATAATATTTCGTTCCCTCGAAATATTATTTCGTTCCCTCGAAAAAATGTAATATTTTTTCTAACCATGTCCCTTTAGGGTCTCCGTATGATCTTGCTGGGCCGCAGACAAAATATCACGGAAACGATGCTTACGACGAGTTTAATTTTTCAATCTCTAACTGAAAATCCTGTCCTAACGTCGTTAAATGCTTGTTACGCCCAATAATAATCATGTTTAAAAAATAGAGAAGGCATATTCTTTTAACGATTTATTACGATGAGACATAGGCCTATTTAAAATGTTTTGAACATTATCACATATCATATCTCAATCAGTGAGACTTCTTGTTCGTCGAAAATGTTTAACTTAGACATGAAATGCTTACGTTTCTTATGAGATGGTTGACTTGAAGTCAACTGTTCATAAAAGAATCGTTTGCAACGTAACAGACCCGATATCATTCAACAAAAACTCGGTTTCCTGTCGATTCGTATTTAATGGACGTATCGCACAGATGAGATACCGGTACTCAACGTGCGTTTCCTGTCGAACATTGCGCTACGATTATTTTACCGTGCGTTACGCCGATTTCACAAAACAAACGCAGCAACCAGTTTCCTGTCAAATTTAATTTTTCTTTGCAGAATCTGTCGCAATTGTAAGAAATTCTGAATTCTTACGTCGACAAAAAATCAACATAAACGACGTACTAGCTTCGAATGCGTTCCATTGCACTGTCAGATATAACAAATGGTCGTAATAAAGCATTCAGCTAAAATCGTTGTCATGATGGCCCTATATCAAATCATGTGATCAGAATTTTTAAATACTTTATTTATTTACTAAAATGCACCCTTTGCGTGGGAAAATAATAGTCAATACTCTTGGAAGAATTAAAATACCTAATATTAATACTGGGATATTCAGGAATTCTTCGACAATTATAGAATATAAGAGAAATGTAAGATAATGTATGTTTTAAGTGGATTTCATGTAGTTACGAATTGTTTCTTGTGATGTGCTATTCAATATGTAGGCCTATATTTTGGAATTTCTATCATTGTTTACGTCATGCTATTAATTGAATAAATAACTATATAAGCCTATATGATTTTGATTCGCAATAAGGAACAAACAGTTAATAATCGTACCATGTAGATTTGTGACAAAAAGATACTTGTATCTCTATCTGCATTATGTTTATAATATAGAACATTATACAGCCGACCTACTATTTTTTCAATGTGTGTTTTACATCCGACAGGAATTGCTTTTGCAAATCACACACGGTATTTGCTCTTAGTATCACTGTGAAACTTAAAGAGTTCAATTACTTTACTGGTGTAATAATATTTAAATGATGTATGAATAAGAATACTATAATTTGCTTTGTTTGACTATTCCGAAAGTGATTAGCTATATAGTAATTGATATACTTCTTCACGTAGGACTATTCTTCTTTTAATACAGCCTGTGCCGACTTTTTTTGGGGGTCGTCACACTATCAAGCTACATTTGTGGAAGCAGACCACTATTCAGAATTCAAAAGATGGAACGAAGTCACGTGTCAGCAAACGGGCTATCAACTTGTGAGCATTACGACTTTAGATGAAAACAATGCAATCCTCAATTCCTTGGAAAACTGTACACACGGAGACTACGCCATCGGATTATCACGCCAGATGGGAGAGCCGAGAAGCAGTGACAGCAGTTGGAACTGGAAATCTGGTGAGACTGTGAACCTGCTAAACTGGGGTAATAATCAACCAAACCTTCAAGACAGTCAGTCCGCAGGAGTGTACATGACGACTCTGGAATCCTATGTATCTGGCAAATGGCACGACGTTGAGAATACCGATCGAATAGGGTTAAATACTGGTAGTCCTGGATATGGATATATTTGTGAAAAATCAATGATAAGTAAGTAACTGTAATAGATCAACACCATTAAATAACTTCTGAAATACTTAATGTCTACAAGTAGTTATAAAGTGTTTTAAGCTATTGGCTTTAATATATTATATGGTAGACTTGAACTTACATCGTTCAGTTAAGCAGACGTGATGTGACGCTAGTAAATGGAATTGTTTTTGGCTGTCACAAGCATCCTTTTTTTTTGTCTTACTTATATACATTCTTAATTTGTTAGTTATTTGTTTTTATATTTTTAAATAAATATAATAAATATATTTAAAAAAATAATTTGGTTTGCTTTTTTAAAAGTTGTTTTAACAACAGACACAAGGCTTTTAGTAAATTACAGAATAGAACTATTGTTGCTATACTCAATGAATTGATTCTTAACGTCTAAAGTAACTTTCTTTGTCATTTACTATTTTAACCGGTTTAACAAAGGGGTGTTTCATCAGGCACTGTAACACCCCCTGGTTACGCCACATACTATTGAGTTAGGTTGTTTCAGTTATGAAAAGAATTGTACAGAATGTTATGAAGGATGTCATGTTGTAATTAGTGGTCAATATTTCAGAGATTTAAGATTTGTAGTACGGTACATTTACAAGTCTATTCTTCTTTTACTGTAGCCTACGTAGGCATTTAGTTTTTAGGTCATCACATAATACAGCTACATACCGAGGTGACAGCACACCATATAACTATTTTTATAAAAAGAACGAAATGAAAATTATGTGCCAGCAATCATGTTATCAACTTGTGAATATAACTACATCAGATAAGAATGATGGTACACATGTGGCACGAAGGCGGATCAAGAGAAATATCTATAGAGCCATGGGAGTGGAAAGCACAGAGCGGGGTGGTGTTTGTTTACAGTTGCTTGAACATTATGCATAGCTGACAAGTTGGGAAGTTTTGCTGGTTGAGCCTTCAGTCCTACTATGATTGTTTAGCACTTCTAGGTGTCCGGAAATAGTATCTCAGACTCATATATGACAACTCATATAAACCTCTTTTATGTTTCGCAGCAACCCCGCATTTATCCACGACGGCAGCAATGCAGTCATTTACCAGTGGTTTACAGTCGATTTTCACTTATCGCAGACCAACAATATCAACCAAAGTAGGCCTAAATGGAGGAACCAAGGAAAGAACTGATATCAGTAATGGACCATTTACAAAAGCTAAGGCAGATAAAGATGAAAGTAGGCAACTTTAATATTAAATAATATTTATCTTTTGACGTTTTCCTCCATCATAGAAAGTTATAAAGGTACTTCTAGATATGAATATGGTTATAGATGTTTAAACTATAAGTAATTTTAGTAATTACTCATTCTGAAAATCACAATGTCTGCATAATCATTATGATAACATTTCACACATATATTATTATTATATATTATATTATTATTATTATATTATTATTATTATTATTATTATTATTATTATTATTATTATTATTATTATTATTATATATTATTATTAATGTGGCACAAAAAAGCTTTGCTCGTATTGTAAATGCCTTTTTTAGTTATAGGCACGACTGCCGGCGGAACAACAATACAACCATCAACCAGATTTACATTATCGAGAACTTACGACAGTGGCCAACGAATTACAAAGTATGGTTCAGATGAGAGAAATAATAAGGGTATGTTTTGTAGATATTTTGTAATGTGAAATTCATATTTCGATTGAAAAATTATTATTATTATTATTATTATTATTATTATTATTATTAATTAATTAATTAATTAATGAGTGAATGGCCTCCAATCAGATTCGAACTTCCAATGAAAGCCTCAATGACCCAGTATGTTAAGGCGTGTGCATTAGAGGTAAAATTTCCTCTTATTATTATTAATAATAATAATATAATATGTTATATTTATATAGCACTAATGCCAACAAGGCCTCTAAGCGCGTCACATTATTACCCCCGGTCATAGGATTAGACGCCAATGGAACACAAACTGTTCCATAAAGTTGCAGCAGTACATCAACCCATTTTTACTCCTGGGTGGAGAGAAGAAATGAACCTAAGCAATGTAGATAAAGTGCCCAAGGACACAATACGAAATGCACAGCGTAGAGATTAAAACCCCGACCTCGAGGTTGGGAAACCAAGCCGTTCCCACTGCGCCAACCACTTCGACTATTTATAGTGAATATGTAATTTCTATTCCTTTTTACTTTAGGTTTCGTGATCGATTATTTTACAAGTCAAAGATCAAAAGGAAACAGGAACTTACGAGTGATTTAGTTGAGGTTATACCTGTCTCTTATACACATCTAGATGTGTATAAGAGTGTACATGTATATATAAGCACAGGTTGTGTCAATACTTTTATATAACTGTAACAGTTGGGCAGCCCATGAAAGCATGTCCGAGAAAGTTGATATAATATGTCTTTTGAGGGCTATTTTAAATATTAAATACCCAAAAATAATCAAAAATAAATCTTTATATTCAGTTACAAAATCGGATCCATTGACAAATCGTATTGACAAATGTAGGTGGGCAATGCTTGGGCACATTTTACGGAGTGATGAACTCACTCCTACACATTGTGTACTTGTATTTGCCGTCACTCAGTCAGTACTCTTGAAAGGCAGAAAAGGAAGACACAGTGTCACTTTATTCTCAAAAATTAAATCTGATATAAAATAAAGAGAGGGCTTAAATTCGAAAATATTGTTGATCTATATAAACTTAAATAGAAATAGAAATAGCCAGAAACAAAATACGATGGAAGGGAATGTTTTAAAAATGATTCGTTATGTAAAATTTGACTTGACTTATCAGACACAACATTTATTTTGTGTCTGCCTAAAGTTTAATAATAATGATGATAATAATAATAATAATAATAATAATAATAATAATAATAATAATAATAATAATAATAATAATAATAATAATTAACGTATATTGTATAGTAATGATAAATATTTTTTATTTTCTATTCTCAGATTTGATTATAATTGTGCTTGCGGCTTTGTTGGCTATTGCTATTGCAGTTGTAGTTCTGCTATTATTACATAAGTACGTATACTTCAATTCTGATTGATTTACATAATAAGATAATAGGCCTATATCATAATATAAAATAGTTTGAAAGTGTGCGTAGTAAAAATAATCAAATTGGTCGCAAGCTGTTTTTAAAAAGGTCTATGTCAATTAATAAGTAATAATACGTTACAGCAGCCTTATCAATTGTGTGTGCTCTAAGATGGTATGTGATTGTAAATGAATCATTAATTTTATTTTCAAAACTACATTTTATATGCTTATTTACATCTATATCCCATAAGACATAAGCTCTTCATCACCTTCCTTGCAACATCTTGTTTTCCTTGCTTAATATGTTTTTTTTTACAATGCTTTGCTTGTCTGCCTGTTCGTTGTGTTTCGTCTCTGTTTGTCTGTTATTTATTTCATTTTTTTTTAACGTTTGCTTTTTTCTTTGTAAAGGTGGCAAAGCTCATATTTTGTTCTCCCCACCTCAGTTGAATTTGTCTTTTTCTTCATTTGGTGAAATAAATACTGAATATATTCTCAAAATGTTCTCACCTCAGCCCCAACCATGTTGGGGCTGAGGTGTGGACTCTCACGCACCCATGATGGAAGATCATGGGGGAAGGGGAATACGCACCTCCAAATATTTTGTAAGGGGTAAGGTTGTCCCCTCACTTTTCGTGAGTCAAGAAGATGCCTGAAAATGGTTGAAATAAACTGCATAAATTTCCCAGGTTTTAACGAAAGAGCGCTGTATAGCTAGCCAGAGTACATCTTATTTTATAGCAAGATACTGGTATCTCTGCCCATAAAACATCTGAATTACCTAAAGAGTGTCATATCCGGCAATCTAGAGGTAAAATTTCCTCTTATTATTATTAATAATAATAATATAATATGTTATATTTATATAGCACTAATGCCAACAAGGCCTCTAAGCGCTTCACATTATTACCCCCGGTCATAGGATTAGACGCCAATGGAACACAAACTGTTCCATAAAGTTGCAGCAGTACATCAACCCATTTTTACTCCTGGGTGGAGAGAAGAAATGAACCTAAGCAATGTAGATAAAGTGCCCAAGGACACAATACGAAATGCACAGCGTAGAGATTAAAACCCCGACCTCGAGGTTGGGAAACCAAGCCGTTCCCACTGCGCCAACCACTTCGACTATTTATAGTGAATATGTAATTTCTATTCCTTTTTACTTTAGGTTTCGTGATCGATTATTTTACAAGTCAAAGATCAAAAGGAAACAGGAACTTACGAGTGATTTAGTTGAGGTTATACCCTGTGATATATACAGTATCAGTTTGGATAATGGTCGGCCTCTTTGTGCTGAAAACACACAGGGACTAAGAAGACATCCACGTACTATTGAAGTTCAAGTTGAATGTAATAATAAGCCATTATACGTGAATCATAACATAAATGGGCATGCCAAAAAGCGTCCAAATGATAACGAATGTAAAAAAAAATCAGATTACGAACAATTTCAAGAAGAGGAAATGGTACAAGTATATGCTGAGATTACAGGAGACAGTGAACGAAAAGTGGAATTCAAATAAAACATTTAATATTTAAAGAAACATTACAATTTTCACTGATTTACAGACCTTCAATACCAAATCCTTAAGTTAATCACCAGCATGCCCGTA